AAAAAAAGAGGAGGGAATTTATGTGCTCGTAAGAAAGCAAGTTTAGTATTTTGCTTTTTTTTTTTTTTTTGGCAGTACTGGAGTTTTAACTCAGGGTTTCAAGGTTGTTATGCAGGCACTCTGCCACTTTAAAAGCCATGCCTTCAGCCCCTATTTTTGCCACTTTCTTAATGACGTACTATTTCATGTTTTTTATTCTAAAATTACCACTTCTAGTAATAATTTAAGAATATTCATCTTGTTCTTTCTGAAGTAATACATAGTTGAAAAAACTCCATCTTTTCTTGAACTGGAGGTGTGGCTCAAGTGGTTAGAGTGCATACTTTCCACGTTTTCTTAAAGCTGAACAATTTATGTGAATGTGATAAAAACTTCTTTTCTCTAAAGACTCTGCTGTTCTAGGGCAGAAATAGCCTAATGTTCTACCTTGTAGGAACATTCATGTTTTAGTATTGTGAATTACAGTAAATAGACTCCCCCAAATCTAGCCACCAGAGCTGTGAATCTTGCTAAGTTATAAATATTACTGCTTCTTTATTTTCAATATACTAATAAGGCTATGTATCCAATGTTATACAGGTGAAGATCTTTTGGCAAGAAGTTAAAAGTCAAGAAGGAACATGGTGGAAAGAAATATAATTTATTTTCATTAGGTTTAAACTGGAAATTGATAACTTCTAATCTGCGGCCTTCTTCACACAGGATGAAATCCATGCTAATGACAAGCAAAATGGCACAGGGCTAGCTATCAACCAATTTGCTGAGGAACAATGCAAAGAAACCCAGGGGTTTGCCATTGTACAGTTGTCATAAGTTGTAAAAAAAAAAAAAAGAACTAAGCTTGTAATAACTGATTTAGAAGAAGGGTCAGCAAATTTGTCTGTAAAAGGCCAGAGAGTAAATATTTTAGAGTTGAAGCCATATGGTCTCTGTTGCAACTACTCAGTTCTGCTGTTATAAACAGCAAAAGCAGCCCTAGACAATAGGTACATGAATGAATGTGTACTCCAATAAAACTTTATTTATGGACACTGAAATTGGAATTTCATAACTTTCCATATCACAAATATTCTTTTGATTTTTTTTCAACCACTTAAAAGTACAAAAACTGTTCTTAGTTCTAGGACCATACAAAAACAGATAGCAAGCAGGAGTTTGCCAGTTTGCCAACCCAACTTATAGAACAGGGAACAAGACGAACAGAGATCTGAAAAACAAGAAAACTAGACATACATTTTGTGGCTAAAAAATGGAAAAGGTTTTGGGCATTGCAAATGTAAATATGTCCTATAACATAAGATTCAACTTAGTTCCTACATTGTGCATCATAGTGCACTCTTCTTCAGGATTTCTTTTTACATATAGAAATGGTGTTTTTTAAAAGGTTATTGCTCATATATTCACAGATTATCCCATTTTTAGTTTTCACAAATTGAATTTAGAATGATGTATAATTTAATGTCCTGAGTTGTGATGTCTTAATAAGAAACCTAATCATTTTTAAGAGTAAAAATAGACAGAGTTGGTGTTTAAGGTAGATTTATTTATTTTGCAAGGTTTGTACTGACACTTTACTTATATATTTATTAGTCATAGCTTTCTTGATATTAATATGGATTTGCAGCATGGATGGTTCTATCCCACTATTTGAAGACAAACCTCCAAAAAATAAAATGCTTTGAACATCTAAAATGGGCTAGACTTTCATGTAAAAAAGCTTCATCTTCATTTCTGATTAACTAGAGCTACTGATCCAAGTCATACTTAAAACCTTACTACACAAAACTATCAAAAAAGTGTAATGGATTTTTCTCATTCTTGGTATAAAGCAAATTATAACTTTTAAAATTGAAAT